CATCGGCTACAATTGCATTGGATGTATTGAATGTACATGTGTGAGAACCTGTAAATATATATATATATATATAATTATTCATACTACATATTAATTATTAATTAATACGAATTTTTCTTATTTAAATATTTATTGTGAAGACTTATATATTATTAAACCTTAAGTCTAGTATGAGATTATCCCTTTAGTTGAAAGATGACATCATTCTTGTTTTCCACGTGTGACTAGAATTGGTTTTAATCAAATCATCATTGCCATGCCACCTTGCATGCTAGTAACAAGTGGTGTTGTGATATCATTGGCAACAGGTGGATGACTCACATTATTCCCTTATTTTTCTATCCTATCTTTTAGTGGTGGTGTTGTGCTATCATTGGCCAAAGGGAGATAACTTACATTATTCCCTTACTTTTCTATCTTATCTTTTGGTGGTTTAACCAAAATATAGTAAATTGAGCTTAGACCCATAAAATTCATTTTAAATCACCTACAACCCTTCCCTTTATTTTTCTATTTAAAATACCCAGTTTTTTCAAATAATATCCGATGACTAGGATCCAACAGAGCAAGTTACCTAATATAACTTAAAATCTAATTTATTGTATTTTTCGAATTCCAAAACTACCCATGTTTATAAGTTAATGTGTTATGGGGGGTGTAACTAATGACACACGTTGAATTTGGAAAGATCTCCAAATGGTTGTGATGGATGTAGGAATTAATTTAGAAACTTATTTGAAATTAAATATTAAATTTGTATTAGTAATCAATAGGTGATCTTTTTAGTTTATTTAATAAAAAATTTATATTGTTTTCCTTTTATGAATTATATGACTAGTAATCTATTTTATTATGTTGTTGAAAAATAATTTGATAATCTATTTATATATTTTTTTTAAATGAACCTATTTTTTCTCTAAATAATGTACCTATTTTTTTCTCTAAATAAAGCACCTATTACTTGTTTTATAAAAAATAATTTGTTCATCTTTTTATTTATTTTTTTTATGAAAACAATTTTTTTTTAAATGAACCTATTTTTTTTTCTCTCCAAATAATGTACCTATTTTTTTTCTCTAATAATGTATCTAGTAAAACAATAAAAAATAATTTGATCATCTTTTTATTGTTTTTTTTTTATGAAAACAATTTTTTTTTAAATGAACCTATTTTTTTTTCTCTCCAAATAATGTACCTATTTTTTTTCTCTAATAATGTATCTAGTAAAACAATTTACCTAGTATAATGAACCTATTTTTTTGCTAAATTTTGTATCTATTTGTTTTCTAAATAATGCATCTATTACTTGTTTTATAAAAAATAATTTGATAATCTATTTATTTTTTGTTTTATTTTTTGTTTTAAATGAACCTATTTTTTCTCTAAATAATGTATCTATTTTTTTCTCTCTAATAATGTACACCTAGTAAAACAATTTACCTAGTATAATGAACTAATTTTTTTAATCTAAATAATGTACCTTTAATTTATAAAAAATGTGCATAAATTTCAATTATACAACTTACCTATTTTCTATAAATTATTGTGTACCTATTTTTAATTTATGAAAGATTTACAGAAATTTCAATTACAAAGTAATTGACCTAGTTTTTTAAAAAAAAATTATTTTGTTAAATAATATACCTATATTTTTATACGTATATATATATATATTTTATATTTTATATTTTTCATGTGTACATTATTGGATACATAATTTACGTAATTTTTTTTTTGTTTGCAATTTTAGGGGTCGAAATGTTAGAGGGAATGACAACCAAAAGAAATGGGGTGATTGATATTCTATTAATAGGGAGTTTTAATTAAAATTATGACAGTTAATGAAATGCTT